TTCGCTAGTATTTATTTTTGATACGTATTTTAAGACTTGCAGCCTAACATTATTAATTTTGTTTTTCAATCTTACTAGTACACTGTTAAGTCGTGGAAAAAGAAATAATTGATTCTTTCATGTGCGCCCTGGGCTTCAAATCCCGACACCGCCGTGGCTCATTTATGGAGCATTTGATTTTTTGTAGCATAATTAAACATTATAATGTGTCGAGTGCCCCCTTTGTTAATCAAATCGCAGGTGGTGTCCCGCGACGCGGCGCACCTCAAAAAGGAGTTCTGGTGAGTGGGATCCGACGTAACTGTTTCCCTGTGGGCATGTTCCCTCGTATTATACAGAGGCAGAATAAATTTAAAGGGACGACTCGATAATTCCATGTGAGGTGTTACATACGAATCGACAAAAAAGGAGCCGCCGTTGGCTGGTTCAAAATTCTGAAAATCGCACTGATGTTAATGAGAAGGAAATAATTAATTTATTGTTCAGCAAACTCTTTAGAGGAGGCTTTTGCCCGGCGGCGTATTGAGAAACACTTTCTGAACTATTGTCATAATGTTTAATAAGTCTTATAATTATTTTGTAATTAGATCTTATCTTGGAGCATGATTATTAATTTCATTACTGAATAAGGGTGTACAGTAATGATATCGTACTCAAGTTTCTAAATAGTTTATCGCATAATTGGTTGCATCTGCGTGACTTGGAAAAGTACGAGAAATTAAGTTTCAGTCAAACGACTGGCGTGAACTTCGCGTGGAGAGAGCGCCTGCTATTTGCCAGATACTTTATTGTACTAATTGTTGTAATTAAATTAAGTTATATTTATTTTTATCATTGAGACATTATTGTAGTTACTTGAGAGATTGTTTAGGAACATTTATTTGATGACAAGATACGTTGTAAATCAGTTCGTATTCGGTAGAGTCTTAACATTTAGCATGGACAGAGAGATAAATAAAAAGCGACGGGGCACGATCACTTTTTATTTATGTTTGGTCGTGAGTCGGCAGCGTATCTGTGAATCAGAGCTTTGTGAAGTGAGTGACGAACTTTCTTGTCTACAACTTTTTCTTTACATAGTGTCGGCACACTAGGTACATACAAACTATTATAAATAAATATATATTTTCATAGGAGGACATTTAAATATTTATATGAATTCAAGTAAGCCGCTCTGACCTTAAGTTTGTTGATTTAAAAAATATAGAGCCATATTAAATTGCAGTTTAGCACTATTTATAAGCACGGTAACTGAATAAACTTTTTTTCAGGACTTTATCGTCCATCATTTTAACTCAAATTTATGTATTCTACAAAATTATTGTTCTTTACAAAATTACAAAATTATCCTTGGCAATCCATTATCAACTTTATATTTAGTTATTTAATTTTTAGCGTTAAGAGTCGCATCTCAAACTAATTTGAAAATTATAAATAGGTAACTTGAAAAAATCGAACTTCCCGCCTTAGGCAGTTCGATTTTTTCAAGTTATTTATAATTTTCAAACTGTATATTTTTTTTAAGTCCAATTCTAAGTTGAATTTTTTATCGTGGTTTGTACTTTTATTAAATTTTGGCGGATCGTGATTAGCTATCCAATCATTATCTGGATCTGAAATTTATTTTATTTGACTATAGACATATTCCATATTAATATCAAATAAAAAAGCGGTTGAGAACACACGACAAAAAATTAAGCAGGTTTCAAGTCAAATTTCGGAAAACGTTTAATAAAAAATAACTATCAATTAAAAAAAAGTAGCTCACTTAGGGTCAAATAGGCAATGTATTCTTAAAATAACCTTACCTATAAACCCACAAAGTTTGTCTAACCTTCCGCCAAACACCCTGCATATTATTAACAGCGACAAAATGGTAGAATAAAATTTCGAAAAAAAATTTTTTGGGTAGCTCCCTAGATGTAAAGTGGGGATGAATGTTTTTTTCTACTTTTACCCCATCGTGTGGGGTATCGTTGGATAGGTCTTATAAAATGGTTTAGGGGTTTCAAATACTTTTTTCGATTTAGGGATCCGTTCGCAAAATATGAAAGTTCAAAGTGCCAATTTTTGTTTGAGTAGGGCGTCCCCCCCTCTAGAAACTAAACTGTTGGCTTGAAAAATCTGGAAAATTTCATAATAATAGTGTTTTTATGAACTTTCAAGGAAAACTATAACGGTTAAGATAAAGATCAGTTATTTTAAGAGTAATAGTTGTTTATCTCATGTATTAGAAAATTTCATATCTAATAAAAAAAACATTGGAAGAAAATATGAAAAATGACTTTAGATGAAGTAATTGCTTGCTTCTGAAATATACATATTGTGGTAATGAACCCTACACTGCGCGTGGCACGACACGCACTTGTTTAATTTTGTTTAAGGTTCTCCACCTTTATGTGTATGCTATTGCAAGACCATTAATAGGTATTATACGCAATCAACACTGGCCTGCAAAACTATCACACCTTTAAAATTGCTGTAAAATAAGATAATAGGTATGTACTTATCTACCTTTGAAATAAAAAGGACTTGAAAAAATAATATTTTAATATACTTTCTAGGAAAGCATTTTTTGTAAACTTTGGTTTACAATCTTTTTTATTTTATTCTAAATCTCTAACTTCTATATGTTTCTTAATTTTGCAAGCCAGTGTATTTGTGTTTTTATAGTATTTTTTATTTCTAAAACTAAAAAGGTAATATATTAATAAATAAATAAACTTTCATAAATTTAATATTTTTGAAAGGTTGAAGTTTTTATAGCATAGTAGCTTTTTCTTTGCTTTGGTAAACTACTATGTAGTTCGAATTTGTCACATCCTATATTTTATTACTATGAAGCATGCAAACAAGTGCTTTATCATAAAATTCAGTTAATTTATCAAACTTAGCAAACATTTAAAATAAAGTTTAGTGACTATGAATGAACAATTGTACATAGTTTGCTTTGCTAAAATATAATATTTTCCATCATAATTTTAAGATCAGTTATAAATGTGTGAAAAACTCAATTTACTGGTAGAGTCAGTGGTTGTTCAGGCCAATAGCGAGCACAGCCTACCCTTGCCTCTTAAAAAGCTTACGCGAGTTGTTTTTCTTTGCAATTAATTGGAACGTAAACGCTAATTATCCACCCATTGATCTTCTAGTCTGCTGTATTGACGCTGTCTCTTTTCTCTGAAGAATAAAGGAAAGAAAAGTACAATGACTGACTTTTTTCAGTGTGTTTTTGTGCGACAAGCTCAAATATAGTGGTTCGCTTCGACGTCGCGATGTCGGCGACGGTCGTTGTTATTGCCAGCCATTGGTTCGGCCACCTTTACTCAAATTCAAGAAACGGTAACCAAGTAAAAAATGTGTTCGTGACCGATGTGCTACACTTTTTTGACTTTTCGAAAGCCAATGCCTAGTCGAACGTAATCGCGGTTGTTTTTTAAAGTGCTTCCATTTAGGTTTAAGTTCTTTTAAAGATTTTAAACTAAGTAAAAAACTACTGCTACTTCCTACTAATGTTTACAGGCCCGTATTTTCATTGTGTGAATTTAAAGTGTCTTAAATGATTGTTATTTTTTAACAAAAGGAGAAGAACACAAAAATCTTAAGAAACTTTTTATCAACCCAACAATTGTAGTATATGAAATGACGTTTAATATTAAGTAAATATGTACATAATTTTCATTAATGATAAATAAAAGTTGGCGATTGTAATACTAACAGTGATCAAAAATTTAAACTGGCAGAAACGCGGATAATATTTATTTTTAATATAAAACAGTAGGGTTTGGTGTAATATTCAGTAAGTACTCACTAACCATTGTTAATGGATTATCGAAATTAAACTTTTATGTTAGAGTCAGCTGATGACATGGAGTCTAGAATTAAACTTATTTGTATTTTCATTTATTCATCAAAATAGTAGCAGTAACATTTTTTCAACTTACAATCATATTATTTATAAGAATTAATTAAAAACGGCTTGTAATACACTTCCAGCCTTATTTATCCTGATACTTACATTACATTACTTAATACTCATCCGTAATATACAGAGCGTTCAATTTATGTTTGAAATATGAATTTATACGAATAAGTTCAAAATATTACAAACAAGCATCTTTTCGGCCGTTTGGTGTAGTGGTTTAGAAAGGACTACCTACTATGCCGAGAGGTCCTGGGTTCGATTCCCGGCCGGGTAGAAATTGAAATGATGAATTTTAAATTCTGTGACGGGTCTAGGTGTTATCTATGTAAAATATGTATGTATTTACAAAAAAAAGTATTTAAGTATGTTTATATTGCTTATATCCGTTGTCTAGTACCCATAGTACAAGCTTTGCTTAGTTTATCTGTCAAAAAAAATTACAAGGATATTTATTTATCTGATAAAAATGACGTAACATGGTGTATAATTACTTAAATTTCAATAAAACTGTTACAAGACTGAATATATGCCCGACGTAACATCCTGTATAATTACTTAAATTTCAATAAAACTGTTACAAGACTGAAAATATGCTCAGCCAAAATAGAGCATCCAGTTAAGTGTTACAATAACCCACGACTGAAATTAATAGGCAAGTTAGTAGGTATTAGGTAGGTAAGCACCTCATTTACAATTTAAACTTCCCTTACGGTACTGTGTATCAATTTGCCGTGACTGTTTCATCTCGCCGATAAAATTACAATGCTGAGAATTTTAATAACACTCATTCATTCTCGAATTGGTGTATAATTCAAATCTCTTTTTCTGTATCATCGTAATTTACATACGCTAAATAAAAAGCGGTGTCATCACAAAAGATATTTGGAGGCAATATAAACATAATATCAATTTAAATTCCTTGTTAGTGGAGCGAAAGCCGACATTATACCTGATACGGCGAGGCCGCGATTGGTGCGCCGGCCGGCCAATGGCGGCGCGCGGCGCGGCGGCCGCGGGCCGGCGGGCGGGCGGGCGCGCGCCGCTCTCCGCGCCTCAGTTACTCTCCACACCTCGCTCCGAAGTGACGTGCTCATTCATACGTGTTTTGTTTTCTATCAACTCTCAATACTAACTCTGTTCTATCATCGGTGGAAGTGACCATGCCGCGACCGTCGCGTGAATCTTACGGTGATCAAAAACCACCTTATTCATATATTTCGCTTACCGCTATGGCGATCTGGAGCTCCCCGGAGCGCATGCTGCCGCTGTCGGAGATCTACAGGTTCATCACCGACCGGTTCCCGTACTACCGGCGCAACACGCAGCGCTGGCAGAACTCGCTGCGGCACAACCTCTCGTTCAACGACTGCTTCGTGAAGGTGCCGCGGCGGCCCGACCGGCCCGGCAAGGGCGCCTACTGGACGCTGCACCCGCAGGCCTTCGACATGTTCGAGAACGGCTCGCTGCTGAGGAGACGCAAGAGATTCAAGCTGCAGAAAGGGGAGAAGGACAATTTGAATGCGGAGCTGGCCGCGCTTGCGAGTTTCAATAGAGCGTTTCTTGCGAGGCAGGCGGGCGCGCCGCCGCCGCCGGCAATGCCGAGCGCGAGCCTGTACACGCCGCCGATGTGCCCACAGCTGAGCCCGGAGCCGGCGGAGCTGCCGGAGGCGTCTATGACGATGCTGCCACGGGAGAGGCCGCGGCGGGCGTTCACTATCGATGCTCTGCTGGAGCCGGAGCCGCCGCGCTGCTCGCCGTCGCCGCCGCAGCCCGTGATGCCGCTGGCCAGCCTGCCGCGGCTGGAGCTGGCGATGCCGCCGCCGTATGTGCTGGCTGCGCAGCGCTACCACGCCGAGCTGCTGCAGGCGGCGGCGCACGCGCTGCGCCCCTGCTACCTGCCGCCGCCGCCGCTGCCCGTCGCGTGACATCACGGCGCGCCCTGCTCCGATAACCCGTGCAATGCTAGATTGTAAGTACAGAAATTGTAATATTATTACGAAGCCTACTTGTTCACGATCGAGTGAGTAAATAAGTCAATAGGAAATGTGTATGCGTGAAATAATCATAGTTGCAGTTTGCAAATATGTACATGGACTTTAGCAACTACACCGGTCTGCAAAACTAAGTAAACTATACTTTTAAAATTTAATATTTTTCTAATTTATAGAAGTTTGATATTTGAACTAATAACGTTTTATAGCAAATCTGATCAGCTTTCTTCTTCTTCTCTTTATCAAGTCTTTTATTTTCGAAACTATAACTTGTGTGCTTAAAATGTTATTGCAATTTTAAAAGTGTGATACTTACTTTTGTAGGCCAGTGTATTTAATAGTAGGCCTATAGAGTAAAAGCATTTGATGTTTTGCTGAAGAAACGCATTTAACTAAAACCTTCATAAATAACTTGTAAATAGTTTACAACGTAGGAAAATTGACCTCAAAGCATTACAAAGATCAATTAAAATTGTCAGGTGACTTATTATGCGTGTATTGAAAATTTAATCATGATATTAGAGATCTCAGTCGTAGGTACTCGTAGTTAATATTATAAGATAGTAATTATTATATTTTTAGTCGGATATTTATTGAACAAATAGCAACTATGTTGGAATTCTCATTATACATTCCGTAACCTATTAGTATAAATTGTTCAAATTAGTGAATAATACAGATATACTTAACGTGAGACTATAAATTTAGATTCCTATGATTGCGTAACAATCGTTATGTCAGTGTTTGTAAATACGCTTCTAATGATCGTAATCATTAAATGTTATTGTAGATAGGATAATGTATAAAGGAATGTTGTTGTACCTACATTTAAAAGTGTTATTTATTTTAGATAAGGATAATAAGGTTTAATTCTATTGTTTATTTTTTTTTTAATTCCTACATTTTATCTTTGTAAATATTGTTTTGTTGTAATTATATTATTGAGTAGGTATTAAATGGAACAATTATTGCATAGAATAACTTGTTTTATTGATATTTATTGACGTCAACCTATTTTCCTTATTTACTATAGCATCTTTTTATTATAAACATCCATTAGCGGTATTTATTTACAAGAAACAATTCTTAGATTAACTGAATTGTTATTAAGGTTCGATTTTAACAAAACATTTTATTTTATTTCGAGAGACATGAGTTTACTAATCGATAGAATAACTATACAACATAATAAAACCTTAATCCTAGCTACAATTACAAAATCAAACGGTTCATCCGACAAACAGGCGATTAGACCACAGTCGAATCTTCAAAATATTTTTTTACTAAATGGTAAAACAGTAAGAAGTTCAAATAAAAAGTTATATCGAGCCAACCAACGTTTGTAGATCAAAAAAATGCCGGTAGATGTAGAAGCACTTTGCAATTGATTGGATTGGTGCTGTAGATTGTTTTAACTTTTTATTCAGCAAAACAATGAACCGTGGCGTCTTGTACTTGTACTTTATGAAAGCTTTTTAGAGCTTATAGAAAAGTTTAAGATACACGAACTACAATATTAATTATCACAAGATAATACAAAAAAGCAAAGATAAAGACCTTCAAGCTTAGAGCCTTGAAGATCTTTATCGTAGCACTTAACTTGTTTAGATCAACTATGCTCCAGTTATAATTTTGTTTTAATTGCTGTAAAATTAAATTAGTTATTCATCCTTATGACCAATACACAGAGCAGTAAAACTATAACATATTTCGCTGGAATTTTCTGCAGAAGCAAAATACATATCCAAAAGTTCAGTCTTAATAGCTATACTAAATTTATATACCATCAAAATTTTTCTAGTGCTTGTAAAACTTGTAATTATGGGATGATGAGTAGAACCGGTAATTTGTCGTATTGGAACAGATATTTCACTGGTATTTTTGAGGATTGCAAAGCTTCGTGGGGGGCGTGTAGCCCGAGTTAGCCCGAACGGTGCTACTCATTGTGGCGTTTGATAAAAAGCGGTCGCGATGGTGGTCTGTTTCACGCTGTAACGCGGCGCGTCAGCCGCGTTTGTGTCGTAATGGCTCGTGATATTGGATTGTGAGGATCGCGCTGACTCATCCACGTCCTTGTTAGACTGCAGGACGTGCCGGGATCGCCTAATAAATTGAATCGGTTAGACGTTAAAGCTTTCGCTTTTTGGTTTGGGCAAGACATTTTGATCAGTTCATGTCATTGATTAATTTCAAGTATAAATCGGCTTGTGTATCCATAATCTATAGAAAATAAAATGACTATATCCACATTATAATATACTTTGTTCACGCCTACACAGCAGATCTAATTTGATAAATATCCCGTTAGACTGGATATGAGAGATTTAGCTTGAATGTCTTGATACTGCCTTATGTTACGCACTATTTTTTGTAAAATAATCTTGAAGGGGTCAGATAATAAAGCTACACATGTATTATGCGTGTGGATTTAGCGATTTTCAAAACTCGTCAAGTGAGATAATTTCGATTTATTATAATTTACTTACACGCTATGTTTGATAGGTACCTAGTTACATAGATGAAACTTTAAATTGAACTAAAAAATTAAGAAACATTCGAAGTAAATTATTTTTCACAAAAGTCGCAGATACCACCATATCCAGTACTTTACCTACCTACATAAGTTATAAACAATAAATAAAACAAAATTTTATTATGAATAAATGAACCTCTCAAAATGAAATGCAAACCTTATGTAATAAAATAAGTAAGCCGTAAGGCTTTTTACTAGTTTTATTTTCACTAATTACAGAATTTTTAATTATTTTAATTCACCAAAGAAGCCCAACTGTTTCCGGTTCAATTAATTATGCTTTACTTTAATATTTAAATACGAATCTATTTAAAGAAGAAAATAATATTATTGGCTCAAGATTGTACCTTCTGTAATAAATGAACTTTCAACATCAAAAAGATATAGAAAATAGATCATAAAGAAAAAAAATAAGTCGTCACAAAACAGAAAGCTAAATATTTGGTCAGCTGATAAAAAATACTGTAAATACATTATTTCAAATAATTCTCAATTGATAATATTGTCTTGTTTATACTGCACTTGACGTCATTGGTGTGAAGTTATTTTAAGATAAAACAATGACACTAATAAATAATGAAACTTGTAGGTCACATAAGATACTTACTTGTACTTGTTGATCTTGCTTTGATGAGTAACCGAACTCGGAAATGTCACTGCAAACATGATCGGATACAGGCTACGAACAACACATTTAGGCTGGGTTGCACCATCTTACTTTAACTTTGACAGACGTCAAAAATCTGTCAAAACCCATACAAAAAGCACCGGTTAACGTCAAAGTTAGGTGGTGCAGCTCAGCCTTAAGGTTGATCGCGGTTTGGAATTAAAATTTGTTAAGGCTGAGTTGCACCATCTTACTTTAACTTTAACAAATGTCAAAAATCTGTCGAACTTCATACAAAAACACCGGTTACTGTAATAGTTACGGTTAAAGTAAGTTGGTGCAACTCAGCCTAAGCCTTTGTTTTTTTTTTAAAGACCCGTCTGAAGTCCGACATTATTCTAAAACTTTATGATTATTTTGGAACTTTTGAAACCTGCATCCTAGCCATTCCATCTTTATTTAAACACTATTTTTTGTATTTATTTACGTACTTACATAGGAAGATAAAAATGTAGATATTCTTTCTTTACATAAGTGAGATGATTGATGATGATTGATGTCACTAATTTTGATAATTCTGTGATAGATCCTACTGCTGAAACCAATCTTAGGCTCGAGTCGAGTCTAAGTTTAAGTTTTAATCAAACGAACACCGTTTTAGAATACGGGGTCTTATTTCATATTAATCTTAACTAGACCTACATGGTGGCACTTAAGGCTGAAACCCAAGCATCCCATAGCATCCATAGCTTATCCTACTTTATATTTTTTATTAATTAATTAATAAATTAAATACGCCATCATAAAATTATAAGTGGTTTTAAAATTAGATACTATCTTCACTCATTCTTATCATTTATTCAGCTCTAGTTGAAGATATAGTGAATATATGAATGAATATTGTTGTTGCAATGGAAATAACTCGTTTCGCGCACTTTTAATAGGTTTATTTATTGATCTGTGATTTATTATTTTAATAATTCAAGTGGTAATTGATTAAATAAGTTTCTAGTTCGAAACGAACCTTCTACTGTTGAGAAGTTGGTTGTTGTTGACCGGCACATTCATTTGATATTAACTTTAGGTCAACCAGAAATTATTACAACAATTTATTGATTCATTAACATACAATACAACAAAGAAAACAAAATATAAGAAGATATTAGTACTCATAGATAGATAATATTTTATTTTTATTTAATATTTTGATTTTATAATAATTGTAAGTAACATAGGTTAAATATTTATTTAACAACATAATGATTATTTATTGTTTGGATTTGACCTCACTAAATTACAGTTATTAATAATATTAAATAAGTTAATAATTTAATTAAATGAAAATCTTATTAATTTATCAAGCCAAAAACAAACAAAGCTGTCATAATAAGGTCATATATCTATTTAGTACTTATTTTTTGCAAGGTTCTGTAGTATTTTAGATAATATCCTATTACAAAAGATTTATTTAGTACGATTTCTAAAAAAAAAGTGATTACAAATTACTTGTTGTTATTTGAGAAGCACCATCTGTGGGAATTTCTTTAGACGCTAGGTCTATGATAAGTATTAAGAATTATTTGCCCAAGTGGGGCTATTTATAATTAGCGCTCTATTGCGTCATTAGGCGGTAATTGTGTGCCGACAACAAACATTAGTCCTACCTCTTATTTATCCACGACACCTGGGTATCTGGATCATAATAGCATGGAATCACTTTAACTAGATGTTTTAAGTATCGCTAAGTGATATTTATTTAATTTCAATGTGAGTCACACTGTAATTAGTTTGTTAAGTTGTAATGTTACAATTTCACTCTTGCCCAATTTACAAATGAACTACTTAAATCAAAGGTTTAATTTAATGATTAAAATTAATTAGTTGAGTATGGTAATTAATTTGTGACAGTTTGGAATGTGGTAGCAATGATGGTGCTTTGTTTTTAGGGATACTTAGGTACACCTTAGTTAATGTTTTAACTAATATTTACAATATGTAGATCTACGAGTAAATAGTGTTTAAATATTGTTTAGTACCAAATATTTGTTTCCAAACACGAGTTTGTTGAGTAAAAAACATAATGCGTTTGGAAAACACATTCAATCTTGAGCAAATAATAAATATTTGTAGAGGCAGCTGTTTGAGAAGGGTCATTACATGACCTAAAATAATAATCCGGTTCTCTTAGCACTTCTGTTGACGTTTTTGCTCCGAACACCTTTGCACGAAACGCTGAAGCCTATAATTTTGAAATTAATATCTAACACATTGTGCCTATCCGTTCGTCCCTCGATTTGCCGTTTTTATAGCTTTCCCGACACCGTAACTGGTAATTATTTCCACCACGATAGCGCCTCGAGGCTTATAAAACACTTTAAGTTATAATAAACCATACCATCTCAAACATAGAGTCGATATTTATGGTGTGTTTTGCCAAAATATTTTTTAAAATCTGGTTCAGACCCATGTTGTTAGGGATTAAGGTTTTGCCGCTTTGCTCTTTTTAACAGTTTAAAGTTATAGGATGGTGGTTGTCTTTGATCTAATTTATGCTAGTTTTAAATTGTTTACCTGAGCCTGTGTTTAGCTCGAAATTTAGATTAGTTTAGTCAGAACTGGCACAGAATGCTTTATAGAGCCTAAAGAT